ACTAAAGCACTGACGAGCACTGACGCATTTACCTTACAAATAAAATAAACTTTTCCTATTTTTTCGACATTTAAAATTTTGTTTTCGATTAATCAACTGTTTAAAAATATTATCATCAAGGGACAATAATTAAGTCTGAAATTAGAGTATGCCCTTTTAAGATCTGATGCCTCAGTTTGAGGACAATGTAACATATTTTCGAAAAGATGGAAATCGACTAAAAGAAAAGTTTATTAAATGAAATTCGATGAAATGAAAATTTCTCCTCTCACAACAAAGCAACATACCAATTTTCACTATTTGGGAAATAATTAATTTCTTTTAAGTCGTTTTTCGTTGATTTCAATATTCAATATTTTATGAGGAACAAGAAATCAGAATAATTAAGACATTTTTTGGTTAAATTAAACATATGAATTTAAACTTACAACGAAATTCATGTATAAAAAGTACATTTTTGTGACATCTGTCGGTGCTTTTTAAAAATACGAAGTCCTTTACTTCATTATCTTGTGTATAATATGTATCGATTATAAATGTTTGAAACTAGTGTCGCACATATTCAGATGGAAACACAATGTTTAATTAAAAGAAAATATTGTCTTTATGAATTATATGATTTAATTTACTTTGATATTTTCAACATTTTAATTTATAATATTTATAAATTAAAATTTTATATCTGTGTTAAAAAAATATTTTTATCAATCGTTAAACATAGATAAATAGATTATTTACATTGTTTTAAATTTTTTTAACGTTTTTTCGTACAAAGATTTAACAAAATTGGGAATTAAATACTTTTTTTTAAATATCACATAGAAATCCGCATCAGTATTCGTACTTTTATATTATATATATATTTTTATTGATTAATTAAAAAATTATTATTGATTAACAAATGGCAATTTTTCAATTAAATTATTATATCTGTAATTTCTTATAAGATTTCTGTTTCAATTTTAGGATGTTAAATTCATATTTTTGCGCGAAAAATAAGGTACCTAATATTCGAGTCTTCTCTCTAGGTTTAAATTTCTCAATGCTTTACTTAATTTGAGATTTTCGATAATCGACCTTCTTCAATCAGAGATTCTCGTTCATGTCTTTTTTCTAAAAGGAAAGCAAACTTAAAAGGACTACTGCCTTACTCCATAAGGTCATTTACCACTTTTAGATGTAAATACATGAGATGTCTGACTATGAGTGTCTAACTATACTAGAATCGTAACAGCGAAGACAAGGGTTCCATTCTTTATATCTATAGACTTTTTTCTCTTTAAATCTGAATTACACAGAGAAAAAAGAATTGTTAATATAGAACTAACAATTTTTTTTTTGTTACAAAATTTTTTGTTACCTCAACAGATTTATTGTTATTAGAAAAAATTTGAATTGTTAGGACAACAAAATAAATTTGTTAGTTCTATATTAACAATCTTATTGTCAACGTAACATTCTTTTTCTCCGTGTAGTAAAAAATTACTAATGAAATAACGAAAATTCGTCCACTAAATGAGTTAATAAGAATTTTACTAATTAATAGTATTACACTAGAAACTAGTAGAACTGTTTTCTTAAAAGTCGATAAAAATGTTTCACAAATTCATTTAGTAAATTAGATGAAATTCTACTATAAAATTAGTAAATATTCACTAACAATTAGTCGTATTTCACTAATCGATCGATTTCATATAGGTCATATTTCAAAAACTTCGTGTAATCATAGTTCTATATAATCAGGAAGTCTACTGAGAATCTCATTTCAAATTCCAGGATAATTCCAGGACATTTCAAGGACTTTTCCAGGACATAATTTTTTTATAACATTCTATATTTTTTCTGTTTTCTTTCTCTTGAAAATTAATAAGAATAATATTAGTCAGAAGATTTTTACTTTCTTTCTTGCTTACCCTATAGGGGAGAGCGGGGCAAGTCAAAGTACAATAAAAAGGAATTCTGAGTTTACAAAGAATCCAATGAACGAATTAATTTAAATAACTCTTAGAATTTCTCATTAAATATTTTAATCAGACAATTTTTTTGGTTTCAAATGCACTTCTCATTTTCTGTGCGGGTAATATAAAAGTTATATTTGATAGTTAAAAAAGTACTTATTATAAAAAAACAGGGATACCCGGTTTGACTTTCTTATATTCAGTTTGCTCCCACTATCCCTTATAATGTCCATACCAAAAATTTGTAAAATTATCAGCTTTAGCATATTTAATTGGTTTATAATGCTATTTATATTATTCAGAATTTTTTAAAATTGTCAAATTAAAAAATTTTCATTGTTTAATATTTTTTTCAATAAATAAACAATTTTAATTTCTTAATTTTAGAAAATTTATTCTGTATTTAAAAAATCTAAATCACTAACTACTTGTTAAAAATTTTGTATATTCTTCATCACAATTATAAATATATCATTTATCTCGCAATAGGTGTAATATTTGATCAAAAATTAAAAATCTTAAAAAAAATTTAACCCGAAATTTTAAAAATTCAACAACAGAATAATAAATTTCAAGACATTTCCAGGGTTTCCAGGACAGTTTTTAAAAATCAAGGACATTTCCAGGACTTCCAGGACGAGTAGACACCCTGTATAAAATACTTCTTTCCCCCAAATTATTTTTAAAAAATTCAAAATTGTAGAACATAAAAACTATGAGACACCTTGTTTATGTTAAGAAAATAAACCACTAATCATTTTTAGAAATTCTACAGAAGCAATATATGACAAAATATTTGTTATCGTTTTTATAGTAAATACTATTAATAACAATTTTTTAATTATTCAAATGTGAATTATTTATTTTTCTAGAGGTCTGTATTTCTTTGGATAAACGTCCTTAAAATGTAATTATTTAAAAAAAACGCAATATACATTGTTATAACATATCGAACTCCAACTTTGCACCAACAAGATTGAAATGATGTTTCAATCTCAAGAAGTGTGAATGCTTTTATTTCATTAGGATTTAAATAATAAATTTAGATAAAATAAATAAAAATAAATTTTTAATTATTAAACTAAATAACTTTATTTATTCCATTTAACCTTATACCAGTGATAATTTTTAAATAATTTTTTATTCAGAATAGGAAGTTTTATAAGATTTGAATAAGTACCAAAGTATTGTTAAGATTAAAATTGAAATTTTGTTTATAATTTTAATTTGTTTAAATAATTTGTTATTTACAAAATGAGAAAATTACGTTAAATTATTATTATTAAATTGAACAAAAATAAGAAATATAAAAAAAATAAACTGCACTGAAAGATTTTTTGTTTCAAAATTTAATAGGATTCATTTCAAACAAGGAAAAGGATGTTTTTAGTTTATTTAATCGTATGAAAGTATTAGCTATTAATATGGTTCATACTAAAGATTGGTACGGACCATATTTTGTATTATATTGTTAAAAGCTGATACGTTCGTACGATTAAATAACCTAAAAACATCGGTTTTCCCTGTTTGAAATGAATCATATTTAATTTTGAAACAAAAAGTCTTTCAGTGTGTTTTCATTATTTTTTTCAAGTGTATGTAATATAAAAGCAATGTTAGCAAAGAGAGTTGTGGACAATGTTTCTATACTCTGCCAGTATAGTTGACGTCGAGCCTTATCTGAACTTTGTGAAAACAAAAATTCTATACTACGCCAGGACTAATTTATTGTTGAGGCTCGGCTGGACTGCGGCTTAGTAAAATGCTCGTTAAATGTTTAGCAAAATATTTCTGGAAAATAAAAGAACATTCCCAAATAATTGTTTATGGAAACCGATTAATATTTAAACAATTATACATTCAGATACCGTGTTTAGGAGAGCAAAAAATTTATTGCGCAGCTGTAGTCGCTTTATTTTAGTACTGCGCATCATGTTAAGTCATTTTTTCTCTCTGAAATTTGATGAGCACTTTATTGTATCATACAAATATATTTGTTTGATTCAATGAATTTTCTTTTAATGTAGAACTTGGCACCACCTACGCAACCTTATTGTGCTACTTATATATAACAATGAGAGTAGCTTACTGAAATCATTTTAAGACGAAGCGCGCTGAATTTCTGTTCGCCAAAAAAATCTCTCTTCGTCTTCACGGAAAGAGAGATTTTCTTTATTTTTTCAATTTAAATTTTTATAATTCCTTAAATATCAACTATATTTAAACTTAAATTTTCTAGTACATTTATTATTACCAATCAATAACTGCAATAATATTTTCATTATTACAAATATTATTATATTACTGTTGTTGTTATTATTGTCAATCATTATTAATTTAAAAAATGTTATTTTAAATAATAGCTTATGAAAACGTAATAAAAAAGATTGTGATTTATAATTAAAATAGTAGAAAATGTCGTTAAAATAATAACAAACATTATGCTAAACTTACTTATATTGAGTACTAGAATTCTTTACGTAAATTTACATTAGGGATGATATTTGAAAAGTTTTAAGGAGTATATGTTCTGGACGAAATATTATTGGTAGGCAGGGTCGTAACTGCGAGTTTAGAGTCCTCTACAGCCTGTAGGAAAAATCTCTTACTTTTATATTAAATAATACCTCAATCAATAGGGCCCTATTAATACTACTATTTACTACTAGCAAACGGTTTGACGGAATCTAGCGAAAGCGTAGTTACGTCACTGTCGATTACACTCAGTTTTACCCATGCATAATGCAGTCTATTAAAGCTCGTGTTAAAAATAAAATAAAATTTTCTTTTGTGTAAAGTGAAAAATATTTTTTCTATATAAACATAGAGCAGTAGTAAAGGAATAGAATCCTGGACAAAAAGGCGCCGTCACTGACATGGAAATAACGAAGCCAAGGGGTTAGTGGCAGTAGGGAGCTTCCAACGTCATCGGGGAAGAAGCTTATAGATAGATGGGTGGGTGAGTGGGTTGATTGCTGCGCAAGGGCACATCAAAGCGCATGCGTTTATGATCCGAATTCTCACAAAATGAAACTACGGTAGTCTGAAAGAACCCATAGTACTGTGCACTCTGTGCACTTAATTACGCTATTTTAGGAAAAAGTCGTGACCCTCTTTTTGCCTCAACTCTATTTTTCGTAGATCTTGATTTACTTTTAAATAATTCGTGTTCGTTTCGTGAAACAACTACAAATCGCGTGGAATTCTAAGTCTATATGAAAAGAGGCATTAAGGAAAAGGCTGGTTACGATCCTTTGAATGTGAGAATCGTCTTTTACATAGTTTCTTCTTTTACGTGTCTATGGCCATTTTCTTGATTAAAAAATGTTTAGTGATGTGATTATTTTTAAGTTCCACACAGCCAGTGTAATTATAATAGCAAGTGAATAAAAGTTAGGATAAAGTTCTTGTAATTGAAGAAAGAATAAGTGGTGCTAGTAAAGTTTGCCTGCAAGAAGGATATGTATGATAAATAGTGTTCGAGCGTGGAATTAATGCTAGCATTGAACACAATTTCGGCGATTAATGCATCGGTACTTCTAAAATTGACGACATAAAATGCTAATTGAAGAAAGAAAGAAAGAGAGAATCTCGTATCTTCCTAGGCTTTCTACGTTTTTTCTTTCATCATTTACCCTTTAATTCCTTCTTCGATCTTAGCCCTTGGGCTTTTACTTCCCCTTTTTCTCTTTCTCTCTCTCTCTCTCTCTCTCTTTCACACATACATTTGAAAGTTTACTATTTCAATCCCCACTTTCGTCCTTAGTTTCTCTCTCACTCTCACCCTTTTCGTCCACACCTAGCCTTTCCTCGCATAACCTCGACCTCGTCACAGATCTGTATGAAGAAGAAACATGAAATTGTGTTAGTGACTGAAATTTTCATTTTGTGGATAAGATTGTGACAGGTTCATGTGATCAAATTAAGATTCCATATAAATGTGTCGAGCACGTTATAAAAAGTGAAAAATACGAAGAAGAGGAAGAAGAATCAACGACAAGGAACGGCTGCGAGCGAGTTTATTTTTAGTGTGCGCGCGCGCCCCTCGAAGGCGCTGAGAGTAGTGTTATATTATATTAAGCAAAGCGGCGGTGACCCGATGAAGCGGCGTATGTGACATCCAATTTTCTCTAGTCACCTCCACTAAAAGACTTTGCAGACCTTCCAAGGTGAGTATTATTTTCAGTGGTAGCATTTGATTGTCCACCATCCTCTTTGACAGTTTGCTCTTCTCTTGTATATCCTTGAATTCCTCTTACTGACTATCAAGCTTTCCTTCCTTCTATTCACAAGCACCCCTTTCTCCTCCGCATGTACACACACACTCGCCTCACAGCTTTCCACTCCTCTAACCCACCACCCTTGCGACCCGATGCACTTGTTCCACACCCTCTTCGAGCTCTAGAAATTACCGACTGTAGTATTACGAAAATTATGTAATGCAACTATACAATGTCGGTGCATGGCGTGGTCATAGCTCTCGACTTTGTCGTCTCCATCTAGGCTACATCTACACTATTTTAAATTATCTTCAATATTATCGCGAGGAACCACAGCACCTATCTACTCAATCTCAGAAATTTGAAACCCGCATTACGATTGTCTTTATAAATCTGCAACTCAACTATTTCTGTTGATGACAGCACTACAACCACTATATCAAGTCAATCAAAAGATATTTGCAAAAGTCACTTTTTTTATTTATAATAAAAACCGAAAACAAATTCAAATGTCATCAACAAAATAAATCTGCTTCCTTACTGAAACTATAATAGTTTCTACTCAAAAACAAACTACAAAATCTCAAAGATTACCATTTTTATATACTTGCTATTAAATTCATGTGCACATTATTAATTGTTCACATACACAAATCAATAAAAAAGTTCTCTACTATCAATAAAATTAATCAAAATTAATTAAAATCAATTTACTATAGTCCAAATATTTGTAAACAGTGTACTTTTCATGTTCAAAGAAAAAAAGTATGTAAGTTGATCACTTTTACATTTTACTTTTCAGAGTTATTGATGATAATTAATTCGGTTGTAACTGGTTAAATTCAAGATAAACGCATCAGTAAGAACAATGACAAAAAAAGCAACAAATGTTGGGACTTTTGTCACCAAAGCAGCAATTGTTGTCATGCTGGTTTAGCCTTGAACTTCCGGAGTCTTTTAATTTAACGTACTGATCTATACACTTCCCTTCAAGATTACCAACACTTATATTATGATTTATTTACATACAACTTCATTAAATTACTCATTGACGTTTTTTTCATATGTAATTGATACAACTCTAGTATTACATTCCCATTAACAAATTATGTGTATACACAAAATTATTGATAAAAAACGTACTTGCAAATATTGTAAATATTCATATTAAATCAAATAATTTATATATTCTAAATAATCCCTTATAGATATATCCGGGTCTGGTGCAAATTCCGAACACAGAAAAAAGTAAGTGTTAAATGTGCGTGTTATGTGCAACTGTCATTGCATACAGTGGTGTTGTTTTAACACTAGTATTCGAAATATTTGTCAAAATAAACATACTTGTATTTTACGTGAAAATCTAATTAATAATTAAAAAGTACTTTAGTGAAAGTGTGAACAATTTAATTTTTTCCAACAAATGGATTAAAATTAAAAATATCTGATATTAAGAACAATTTCAGTAACATAACCTAATAATTGTGTCGATTTTAATTTTTTATAATAATGTTAACTTTTTATTTTTCAAAGTGTCAAAAATAAGTCTGTACAGTTCCAAACACTTATGAATTCTTTAAAAAAAAATTTTATTTAAAAGTTCCAAAAAAGTACGTTAATTGTTTACAATAATAAAATTGTTGTGTTAAAATAATACTACTGGGTGAAAAAGTGTTGTGTCTTTTAACACCAAATCTGATGTCAAAGCAGCACCTACTTTTCTCTGTGAGTGAAACACACTGACCGACGTGGATTTTTAACTCAATGTCAATGTTATTTATGAAATCTATTATAGTTGAGAGACCGTGGAGTTTATTTATTACTAATTAAATTTCAAAAACTTTAATTAATTTTCTTTTAACATACATACTTGTTTTTGTTACACTGTAGATACACTGGGTCAACTTGACCTACGTTTTTGGTCAAATTTTAATTTTAATACAATGAAATCTATCTGTAAATAAACTCAGTCTACTGTATGTACATTACTTAAATTTTCTTACATAAATATTGTTGTTTTTGAACATCAAAAAGATTTTTTAAATATCCTGAAAAAATGTTTATGTACCTATATGTGTGTCACAAAAGTTAATTAACGTAATTCACTTGATGTAATATTTAGTTATTTCTGTAGGACTGCTCTCAAGTCGAGAAAATAGCTTTCGTACCAACATTAATGTTGTAAGATCAATTAAATATCACATCAAGTAAATTACATTTCGTTTTAAACGTATAGGAATATGCGTGCTATAAATTCCAAGGCAATTTTTTCCCCGTATAATCACACAAATGCAGTTGCATCGATTTAAGTGAAAGAAGGTATTAACCTAAGTTTGATTCATAAAATAGTTTAATTAAAACGGAAGCAACTCCACTTTTTTGAAAAATTAAGAAAATGAAAAGTTTTTAAATTGTCATTTTTTGTTATACATTTTTTATAAACATTTCATAATTGAACATTAAGGGTTTATATCACCTTGTCAACTTTAAGAAATTAATTTCTTATGGATTTATAAAATAAAACATCTTAAAAATGTTATGTAAAAATTTAAGAAAGATCCGAACACTCTAAATATATTTTTTACCATGTCATTTGAGGGTGAACACACTGAGAATGTTGTATGTAAATGATTAATTTTAAAAAACCTGTCAAATATTTTTGCATCTTATTACTAGTGGGTTATTGAGGTTGCTAAATACAAATCTGAAGTTGATATAAAAAATTATTTTTAGACAAACAAAAAAATTTGGAAAATTTTAAAATCAAATTTTAGGATTTTTTGAGTTTTTTTTACCGTGTTACACTCTAAATATCTCAATATCGCCGTTATTTTTTAAAAAGTAAGACTGTTAAAAAAGTTAAATAAAAAAGTGTGATCTACCGCTTCAACGATCCAAAAAGAAAAAAATTTTAAATGCCCAATCAAAATAAAATTTTTTGGATTTTTCTTTGGAAATAATTTTTTTTAACATCGATTACAGATTTGTATTCAGAAAACCCCTAAGTATTAATTTGTAATTAAATAAATAATTAATTAATTAACCATTTACATACAACACAAAAATGTTTTTGAGTTATTTACCGTGACACACCCTAAAATCATGTCGGACAAAATTTTTTTATTAAGTAGATCACATAAGAGAATAAAATGAGAAAATTCATAAAAATGTCACTTTAATAGAACTAGAAAATTTTTTGAAAAAAAAATTTGAAATTTTTTTTTGGAATCTCTTTAATTGTCTTTTCAACATATTCAAAGCTGATTAAAATGCATACAGTAGTTTTTCAGAATAATGGGTTATTGATTTTTTTCCTCTCCATAAGTTCCAAAAAACTCAAAATTTTGAGTTAAAAATTTCAAAAAGTTATTTTTAAGTGGGTAGGAATGAATGGGAAAAATATATTCGGGTCACTTTTTCCATACTTATTTGGCTATACCCTATCACATGAAATTGCCCATATGTATATATGTGCATTACCGTACGTAGCAAATAGCATGACCATGGTTTTTGACATTTTACTCAAAAACTATATTTTTAAAAAATTTGGAAAAAATATATGTTAAAGGGGACATTATAAGGTACTTTTTACAACAAAAGAGAAAGTGGTCACTTTAAAAAATAACCCTAAAAAAAAATTTTAAAAATTTCAAAAATTTTTTTCAAAAATTTTTTTTGAAAAAAAAATTTTGATTTTTTTTTCTAAAATCGTCTTATCTATATTTACAACCTCTTAAAATTTCATTAAAATCGGTTCAGTAGTTTTCGAGAAAAATTAGTTTTTTGATTTTGCTTTCCCCCTCCATAACTCCCCCAAAAAAGCGAATTTTGAGTTCAAAATTGCAGAAAGTTATAGTTATATGGATAGTAATATATGGGCCAAATTTGAGAAAAATAGATGCGGGGGCAGTTTTTGCACACTTAACCCCCTAAGCCCTTTGCGGCAAGTTTTCAAAGCCAAATTTGATAACTTGCCTGGCAAATTTGCAGCAAACTTGCGGTAAATACCAAAATGTCCGTTTGGTGGCAAGTTTTCAGAGAAAATTTGCAGAAAACTTGCGTGGCAAACTTGCAGATAATTTTGTAGCAAACTTGAGGAAAATTTGCAGCAAACTTTCAAAAAACCTAAAAATTAAAAAAAAAATCTTTTTGTATTCAAAATGTATGTATTTTGATAAACGTTGCCTTCCCTAACAGGGAAGGTGACATAAATGTAGTGCGCAGCTCTAGATGTCATAGAAAACTACTGCGCATGCATTTAACATTTACTTTGCCATGCAAATTTTCTGCAAATTTGCTCTGCAAACTTGCCACCAAACGGACATTTTGGTATTTACCGCAAGTTTGCTGCAAATTTGCCAGGCAAGTTTTCAAATTTGGCTTTGAAAACTTGCCGCAAATTTGCAGAAAATGATTGTGCTATGTGGGAATATATTGAAATTTAATATCTGTGCGTTGCGCAAGCGCAACGTCTAAGGCGCCTACAATAAAGAAAAAGTGAGGTTATATTATCAGCCTGTTTTGATGTGCGAGCATGAAAATGGAAAAACTTACGTCGTAACTGCCAGCAAAAATTAATATTTTTTAAGTTCATTAACAAAATTAAGCAAAAAATTAAACAAAATTACAATAATTTTGCAAGGAAATTATTTTATTAAAGTTTTAAAGTGGAGTAATTTGAGTTTCATTAGTTCACCGCGGCCACTAGAATTGGCGCCACCTCCTTGACCACTGACACATAGACCCAACTTGTATGTGGTTTTTCCCACATGCCCATAATAAAACTAAAAAAACATGTTATAATATTCTTTAGTAGTAATGTCGCGAGTATATAATTCAAATTTATATATGACATACGAATTAATAAATATTGACTACAATTTCATGTGTTTTTTAGAATTTTTCTTGCAATGACTGCTATAATTCTACTATTATTATTATTATCATTT